GGGGGGTTAGGTTTCCAGGAGGTGGGGACGGGGCTCTCATGGTTTGGATTCTTTTGTGACCAGTCTGATATGGGCCTCTCCATTTTCTTGTGTCAGTTGTATTAACATTAAGTTAATACAAGTTTCTAAAAGTGACATTAAGAAAATGTTTAAATACCATATAACTTAGAACAGAATGAAGACTTAGCTTAGGTTGCTTCTGATGAGAAAAAAAAATCTAATGCTGAATTATTTCCAAGTTATCAGACCTATAATAGACTTATGGTTTACTTATGAAATTAGCAAGGAAATAACATGAATTTAAATTTTTAAAACCTTATTTCAGAGGCAGAACTAATTTTGGAAATGATGTCAAACGTCTGAATGGAAACCCTGGGTACCCTGTTTAAGGTGCCCTTTAAGATTTGGTTTACTGAGATCAAAACAAAACACAAGTATTTGACTACAGAATTTTGTTCACATAGCGGTCGATGTGTTTATCCAACTCACTGTAAAACTTGAGGATTATGAATTCTCCACCACTAAAAAACTGTCAGCAGGTAGCCTTCTCCCTTTTGCTCTGATTATTACAAGGGTCGTGTCTTTAATTACCACCTGTTTTGAAAGAGTTTAAATCAAGTTCACTAAGAAAAAAATGTAAGCATAGTTTATTAACGTTTCCCTGAAATTTATTTGTTCGGAAGCACCATCATCTTCGACATTAGAATTATTGGGTGCATTCCTGAAGAAGACCCAAAATTTAGTAAACTACAAACAAAGCATAGGAGACTCCTCCAAGGACCCACGCTTCCTGTGGATTCTCCAAGGCCTCTCGTTGCACTTCCTGATGAAATAATAACGGATATGACAGAGGGTTAAATGAAGCTGAGGTGGTAGCAAATGTGTGTCACCAGGAAGGGGCGTAATTGAATAGAGTCCTTGGCTGGCATCTCGCCTGACAGATGACGTTCCAGCTCGCTAGGCGATGACCCTTCTGTGCAACTTTAGGAGCTGCGCCAGCCATGGCTGAGCCTGCTTAGGTCAAAGGGCTGAACCATGTGTAATTCAGAGCAGAAGAGGTCCCACGTTCACTCCACAGAAACAATTACACTACTTATTTCACTCCAGCCCTGGCCCAAAACGCTCCAGCCTCCCAGCTTCAGTGCAGTCAATCTAATTCTGCCCCTGGGCGATAAGCCACATGAAAATATGTGGCGCTGTGTTTATAAATCTAATCAAAAATAGAAACAGTGGACAGGCGCAGTGAGGTCCCCTTATGGATCATGGGAATCCTGAAACTCTGAAGGCGCTTTTGTTTAACTTCTATAGACTCTTTGCTACAGTGCTCTTTGCCCCACTCGTTAATCACCCTCTTCACTCACGAGTGCTACAAAAGACGCCGGAGTTCTGCTCAGTCCTGTACTTTCCCTGCATGGATATTATGAAAAATGGAGCTAAAAAGGCTGCTTTTAAAGGAAAATATCAAAAGGGGGACTACTGTTAACATCCATCTCACCTCTCTATCCATGTTGTCTGCTCTCTGCCCCTGGCAATGCACAGATTTAAATCGAGTTCCTGGAAAAAAGAAAAATAATATGCCAGAATAAATTGGCCTGATCAGAAGATACATGAAGAAATTCTGAGTTGCAGGGCTCTGATGCCACTTAGGAGTCCGAGAATTCTAAGTATGTAGTCAATCCAGTCTAATCTAGTATCTTAGTGTGGATGTTTTCCTTTTTTCATCAGACTCCTAAAACCTTGAACCAGTGAATACTCACAAAACATTTTAAAAAAGCAAGCTCTAAGAAAAAGATTCAGACTGAATTCAGAGAACCACAATTTCCTATCTTTGACTCAAAAGGTGAAAAATTGACACTTCACTAAAGCTCCAGTGCCAGATTGCAGGGTATACCTTAGGATGCTGGATTGTTTATCTTTAAAGAAAAAGATCCCGTTTTGCAACTGCCATAAAAACATAAAATCTGATAAAGTCAAGAATAAGCATGTATACTTTGAGCCAAACAGATTAAACTGTGCAAATATCCAGGAAAGATACAGATTATAACATTTTTCGGGAGGGGAAATGGGTTTTTTAACACTAGTAAATCTCTCTGGAGTCGCGCAATAGATTAATAACTTCAAGCTCCTCTATTTGATGTTATTTCAGTTACTTCCCAGAGTGTGTGAGAGCTTTTAAGACCTATCATTGTTGAAGAAACTGAAGGACCTGCATCACTCTATAGCTCATGCTAAGACTGTTACTTTTAATGTAAGTTACATAGAAGATTTAAAGATTATAGTAAATGACCTTTTCCTAAAATAAGTGAGATGTGTTCAAATGCATTAAATGAAAAACATCAAAATAGAAAAAAATTGCAGAAATTGAGGTATTTGTCAGCCTCCTCCACCATAGTAACTGAAGAGTAACTCACTTGCACATGTTTTTGAAGAACCATTGTGGGATAAAAAAATCAATGTTCTTTTGTTTTTTTTTTTAATTTGATCTTAATAGCTAATGCTTATCCTTTGAAATGTTTTTAACTTGCAAAGCTGCTGATTTCATTGTCTTCATGAACACACTTTGCAGACATGTAACTGGAAGTGGATTTGCCCGAAGACCATATTTATGTCATCACTTCTACTAATGTGGATAAAATGCTCAGACAACATTGACTAAAGCAGATGACCTTCTTTTTCTGTAGGTTACTTTCCCCACCTTCCTATACAAATATCCAAGATATAACGTCAACGCAGTAAGAGTACAATTGTGAAATAAGATCACACATTACCTCATATCAAATATACAGCTGAATCTGAAATGTGGCTTCATAGGGACAAGCACCATGTCATTTAAAAGCAATGATCATTAAATGGGACAGAAAAAATGCCTTTTCTCTCTCTTGAGCAATGGATGTGGTCCTAAGCATCTCCCTCTTGGAGGATATCTGAAGGCTTGGGTCAGGTAATATTTGCAAGAAACAATCTCAGTTCCCAGATTTTTGTGAACTGGAATTTGGGGAATATAGTCAGAACCTTCACAATTCAGGGACAAACATCATCTTAGGGCTGATGAAGAGCAAGCAGTCCACCTTAACCCTAAGGAAAATCACTAAATCCTCAATTTGATTTGGGGGCATTAAAGGATTTTGGTCAGATTGTAGCCCTGATGGAAATATTGGCTCATGAAAGTGTGTCCCTAATATAATTCCTAGAGCTTGACTCAAGGCCCTTCCAAGTAGAGGAAGGACAACAGTCACTGAAAGTTGGGAAAGAGCCTTCAGCTGCTAAGAGTTCTAGAAAATAAAATGGTTGAACATAGAGCCTAAGTTCCAGAAGGGAAAAGAAAGACAGTGAACAGGAAGGACTCAGCCCCCTGGAATGGGATATACTCAACATAAAAAACAGATGGCATCCTCAGCAAAAGGTAAGTAGAAGGGGCATGAGCAAAGAGGACTACGGGAATGAGTGACAAGTTTATATGATAGTAGGTAGGATTTCACAGTCAGTAGTAACGCCAGGGAGTCAGCGATAACTATACACCCACCACACCTCCCACAAAGCCTAGCCACTGAACAATCACCTTAATATGGAGCCAGTTAGAAAACTGTTGCATTTGCTAATCCATCTAGAAAATCAACTTTATCTAAACTATCTTTGCTTTGCAAAATGTAATAAACTGTAATATACAGAACAAAAAACACCCTTGGTTTGGCCTTTTTGGGGGGAAAGCCTTACCTCAGTAACAGATAAACCGCCCATTACACAATGCACACTGTTGTTACGGATTTGTCACATTGCACCAGAGTAGTGCCTGTGTTGGAAATCATGTGTCTTTCATAGCCTGTTGCAAACTTAGCTAGCAGAGTCATGGCAATGGCTCTGACTGGCAGGTCACCTGTCTACTGCACCCTATGAAGTCCAGGTTGAATAATCACAGCTGACTTGCATAGTCGCTTTCTGTTGATTTTAAGGATGAGTTTCCAAATGACTTTCACTGGAATTGTTGACTTGCGCTCCAAATCAAGCCTTGGTGTGGCCAAATCTCTGCCGACTGGCTCATTGTTCTCAGACAGGGATGAGCATAGCTGCAGCTGTCACTCTCCTGCATTTCTCTTCTCAAGCCGACCAGCAAGGACACAGATGGAGTTAGACAGAGGTCACACACCAGAGGCTGCCCGCAAACATGTTTTGTTTAACTCTGCACAATCGTTTTCTTTCTTTTTTTTTAAATATTGAGCCCTTATTTTGAAATGAGAAGATTACAATTAAAACCCCAGTTTCTGGATCCTCTGGCAATACGCGAAGTTTGCGGACATAGGGTCAACATTGTGTTTGGCAGTGATGGGCTGGGGTCAGGTAGTGAGTACTATACTCCAGGCTGGCAGCCCCTTCCCTCGCTGTTGCTGACCACACACTGCAGCACAATACCTTCAGGACAGACAGGATTGTGGTACTCACTGCTGCATCCTGAGAGCCTAGGGCAGAGCCAGGAAAGTACTGAGGGCTTAATACATAGCTAACATAAATGAAATGTTCTGGGAGTAGACAGGTCCCTCTTTAAGACAATCAAATTGAAGACAATCAAATATGCAAAAAACTTTCATATGTACATGCCATTTATAAACAGGCAGGCCAAATAAATTCTCTAGATCCTTAGGCAGAGGAAGTGCTCACAAATTATTCATCTCTCTATATCTGGCACTAAAAGTAGACCACGAATCAGGCAAAATACAAGCAAATAGACCCAGCACATTCTAGTCATTTATCTTCTTTTCCGGACCCCATGGGCATCAGCTATGAAAGTTCTGGAGAGGGATGAGACTGGGCCTGGAGCCCACGGTAATGTACTTCTCCAGTTCATTCTGCACAGGAGGGTTCTGACATCTAAATCCATATTGAGGAGTAAGTGAAAAGAACCATATAAAACATACCTTGAAAAGGCATAAAGACACAATCACTCTCCTTGGAACTGATAAACCATGTCACAGAACACAGGTGGCAGAGTGATGAGTTAACAGAATCTAGGGATGACTCAGTGCCTACAAGAAGAAATGGCACCTGCCTTTTATCAGGCACATGGGCAGACCCACTAAGCAGTTTCAAACCCCTGAACATGACAGCCATGACTTGGGTCAGTGTCTCCCAAAACCCTTGAGTTAGAGGCTTGGCTCCCCAGTGTTTGACACTAATAGGGAGTGGTGAGACATTGAAGAGCTGGAGTTCCATGGAAATGAAGTCTCTGAACACTTGACCTAGGACACCAATTCACTTTCCCTATCCCTTTCTCTCTTCCTCCTCCCTCCCTGTCTCTCAGCTACACTCTCTACAATATCCTGCCTCGCCACAGGCCTAGAACAATGGCTCTAACTGAACACAGAAACCCTGAACCAGAAGAAAGTTTCTTTCTTTTAACTTGATTCCCTCAGGCATTTTGTCTGTTTGAACTAATGGGCCCAATCACCTAATGAGGAGAAGAGCCCATGATATCTTCAAGTACAAGGGGGTCTCACACTCACTCCCTGGTTTTTCTCCATTGGCTCCTCGGGTACTTGGAAGAAAGAGGAGGTGAGAGGAGTCCAGAGATGGGACTGTAAACAAGGAGCCATTTTGTTTCCAGATTTGCCAGTGTCCAGACATATTTATCTTGTCACAGCGTGGGAAATGCTATTTTATGTGGTAGTGAGAGAGCAAAAATGTCACCAAACACATTGAAGTGTGTAGATTTTCCCTCTGCAAGGTACCATGACAGAGAACACAGAGATTTTAAAGGCGGGGAGAAATAGTGACAGAATATGTGTAACACCAAAAAAAAAAAAAAAAGCATAATAGGGAACTATTTGAGAGGAGAAAGGGGACTCAGAAGCTACATGTAAGGGAAAATAAGGCAGAGGATTATGGGAAGTGGTGAAAAACAAAATATAATGACATAAATGCTAGAGAGGAACCAACTATTCTGAATGCCAACTTTTAAAAAATGAACAAAAACCAATAACCAAATAAGTAAATAACCAAAAGAACGAATGAATTGGATCTATGGCTACCCAGATATTGGAACTAGCAGACAATTTAATACAATGTTCGAAAAGCTCTAATACCAAAAGGTGGAAAAAATACATGAATAAATGAGGGACCTTGGGATAAATGTGTTAACTTTAAAAAATGAAATAGACATTAGAGGAATCTCAGACAGAAATCAGGCAGGAAAAGCTGGGGTTCAGGCAAGGGAGACTGAGCTGGGTGGCCATGGACCCTACAAAACACTGCAGGGAAGACTCAGAGGGTCCAAGTTCCCTACATCCCCGTAGATGACTCAGATGCTACATGGCTTCTACAAAACACATCAAACCGAAGGGGAGAGCTGGCAGGAAGTCAGCTCTGTGAACATCTGAAACCTGATTTGGGAGTGTGCTCTATATCCCTCACACACATCCACCATCAGAGGATGCATCACACCTGGTGAGGGGGTTCAGGATGAATACTGGGTGAGCACCAAGATGTGTAAGTTGTGAAGGCATGGAGGAGCCACGACAAACGCTGAATGCCACACACAAAAAACAGTGTCAGGGCTGTAACCA